TATGGCACTCCATGGCACCCTTGAAAGAATCTCAAGGCACCCCAAGGTACTATGGCACCCTGACTGAAAATTCTAAGGAAGAAAGAGACTTAGGAGTCATCATTGACCACAAGATGAACATGAGCCTGCAATGCGATGCTGCGGCTAGTAAAGTGACCAAAACACTGGCTTGCATCCATAGATGCTTCTCAAGCAAATCCCGGGATGTCATTCTCCCCTTGTACTCGGCCTTAGTGAGGCCACGTTTGGAGTACTGCATCCAGTTTTGGGCTCCACAATTCAAAAAGGATGTGGAGAAGCTTGAGAGAGTCCAGAGAAGAGCCATGCACATGAACAGAAGTCAGGGAAGCAGACCCTACGATGACAGGCTGAGAGCCCTGGGGCTCTTTAGTCTGGAAAAGCGCAGGCTCAGGGGTGATCTGATGGCCACCTATAAGTTTATCAGGGGTGACCACCAGTATCTGGGGGAACGTTTGTTCACCAGAGCGCCCCAAGGGATGACGACTAGGTCGAATGGTCACAAACTACTACAAGACCGTTTCAGGCTGGACATAAGGAAGAATTTCTTTACTGTCTGAGCCCCCAAGGTCTGGAACAGCCTGCCACCGGAGGTGGTTCAAGCGCCTACATTGAACACCTTCAAGAGCAAACTGGATGCTCATCTTGCTGGGATCCTATGACCCCAGCTGACTTCCTGCCCTTTGGGCAGGGGGCTGGACTCGATGCTCTTCCCAGGTCCCTTCCAGCCCTAATGTCTATGAAATCTATGAAAGCCATAGACCAGGCATGGTATTGGCATGTTAGCAGCTGCTCAGCTATTTTCTGGCACTCATTTTCAGGAATGACATGTTGTTTACAACTCTGTCATCTTTGTCTGTGCAGGCTGCCAAAAAAACAAAGGGCAATTAATGAATGCAAAATCCAACCCTAGGTAGGGTCCTCAAACTCTTAATTTTCTTTCTAAGAGTTGCTCTGTGATTGCACACTGTCCTACTAAGAACCATGAGAAGCCATGAATTCACTTCACAGATCGCCAAATTGCTGTTGTATGGAAACTACTTTTAGTCAATAGCCTCTTACCTCTGATTTGAATCAGTAGCTGAGACAAGAAGAGAGGTAATGAGTCATCATCATTATGATCCAATGAGTATTTTTAATGGGGAGATAATGAGAACTGTGTTTGTCCTATTGAATTCTGTCTTTGGATTTTATTATTTTCTGTCTATTTTGCAGTGTACAACTACTTTATAGAAATTATTACCTGGAACAAAAGCGTTAGGAGAGGTTTAATTAAAATTAAAATAACCGATTATTCTGGAAACACAATAGACTCACACATGAAATGGTAAGTCATGTTTTTCCCAGTAGTTTCTAAATCTTTCATTTATCTAAAGTAGCTACACATATGAGTGATTGGAAACTGGTTCAAATCTGTAACACAACAGAAGTTCAGTACACATAAACTGCTTTCAAAATGGCCCAAACCAGTTTAATTTAAATCAGTTTTGGCCATGTAGTATCAGACTTAACCAGATGTCGTATCAGACTTAACTGATTTAGGTTAAAGCAGCGTATTGAATTTCTGTCCCAGATCCCCTCCAGATTCAAGTTAAAACACAGTCCCCCAGCACTCCAGGCTGCTCTTCATGTCTTCCTTGCCCCCCCACACATACACAGGGTAGGCCAGCTAGACTTGACCCAAGCTGGCAGCTCCAGCTGAGCAAGGAGGTTCTGGCACCCCTTGGCTTCTGCCTTGGGCCACAGTAAGCACGTGGCTGCATTTCTGGAATCAGAAGTTAATGTCTGTTCACTTGCATATCAGTTCAATCTATGCAGCTTAGACTAACTTGCAAAGATTGAATCGGTTCAGCCTCAGGTTTTTTGACTGTCCATACTTAGTTTTTGTGTGCAGTTACCATTTTCACACATATAACTGGGGTAATTATCTACCTAATGGCCAATTAAACATGGAATTGGCATTTTTTGGCTTCAGTGATACAGTTGGTAATCAGAAATATATGAAAGAGAAGCAAACATGGTATGAAGTATACTTTATTGTGCCTGTGATGGCATGGACCTAGTTTTGAATATCAGGCCCTAAATGAATTGCACACGGTCACAACATTTGTGGCAGAAGCAGAGATAGAATAAGAACCAGCAGCCAATGCTGATTCCAGCTTTTCTGTACAGTTCATGGAACATAAAGAATTATTACCTATTAAAAGGTGGATTAAAGCTTAATTCTGGGGTGCATGGCATCTATTGCAGCTCTGTGCAGGATTCATCATAGTAGGACAGGTTAAAGCAACCTGAGAGTTGCTCTAACTGGCACCAAGTGTGAACTGACTCATGCAGTTGATAACTTCATTAGTGATCAGTGTGACATAGTGATGTCTTGGCCACCTCCCCTCCCCTCTGAACACAGCCCACTTTTGCAGTCCCCATGGTGACTTTATAGGACTAGAGCCTCCTAACACTGAGACAATCCTTCCCAGCCATCTGCATACAGGGAAGGGCCAGTTAATACTGGTAGTTTATATTGGGCTCTGGGTCACCAGACCTCCAGTTATAAATATTAACCACCAGACAACACATCATACCTAAGCCTAGTTTGTTAATTATATTGCATTTGACTCAACTAACAAGACATTTATTTTCTCTTTAGTGAACCTACAACTTTTCTGCAGTATAGACAAGCTAGCATACTTGTCGGATTTAACCAGGATTTTGATAAAATATCAAGAATTTCCTTAACATTTTCTACCAACTCTTTAATAGGCCCCAAATATAAACTCAGGATTATCAGGATGAGGCTAAGATCTATTACAAATCCAGCCAGGTAAGTGGTCAGCTTCTTATAAAACTTTGTAAAAATTCTATTTTTGAGGTGTTTCTGGACAACTATGTATTAGACTTCTTGTAGCAATTGGTTTGTTGTGCCTATTCCTATTTACATTAATATTGGCATCCAAATAAATTACTTCCTCACCTGAGATTTATATCAGAATGTGAAGACTTGCACATGACAATTAATTGCAGGCTGTGTCCAGCAGGCATCACCTTCATATTTAAATCACAAACATGTGGCTTGTGGTCAGAGGCGACCTGAGCACGGTGTGGAGCCCAGGGCAAATCAGCCCATGCAGGGCCCTGCCCCCTCTCTGATCCCACAGGCCCCAGACCTGAAGAAGTTGCTGCTGCCATCGGCAGCGCCAGCATCAGCGGCGGGTGGGTGGGGGGTAGCGAGGAGCTAGATGCAGAGCCACCACTCCGCCCAGCTCCAGGGGGTCCCCTAAAGCATGGGGCCTGGGGCGGTCACCCCAATTTGTCCCCCCCCAGGGATGGCCCTGCTTGTAGTGGCTTACTGTCCTTAAGCTCGTGTGTGTGAGGATGACTTACCAATGGAAGGATTGCACAATTCAATTATTTAATGGAAGAGAAATTTAAAAATCATTACTGAAGCACTCTTCTGCCTTGGACAGTCTTACACTCAACTCTGGACTAAATCTGTTGACTTCAATTCTGCTACTTGTAGGAGTAAAGCAAACAAGTTTTGTCTCTGCCGAGTAGAAGAGTATAATGTGTATACAGTGCTTACTGATACATGCACACAATGTTCAAATGCCTACATTTCATTACCCAAGAAGCTTCAAATATTACTTTTTAAGCAATTTTAGAAAATTGGCAATACTGCCATAGAGGTAATCTTAAATTGTCCACAGAAAAGTGTATAACACCATGACATAGAAGCTTTGACTTTCCATTTTGTGAAAATAAAACTTTCACTAGCGGGACATTTTACTTCCCAGTTCATCCCACATTCAGCTGAGCAATATTTTTCCATTTAGTATATCCTGCACATTAATGCCTGGTCCAGCAAAGCCAGAATTTCTACTAGTGGTAACAGAGTGAGTAATGAATAGGAAAACTCCAACATTTGATGAGTTGCTATCAAAAGCAGACTATTATAATAAATTAACAAAAATTCTAAACGCTGCACAACAAACAAGTAATTTGCTACTTTGCCTTAATGATTGGGATACCCATTACAAATTACTTTGTGCTTTCTTTTGTTTTGTGCTAATGATTTGTCTATAGAGACACAACACACAGTTTACAGAAGGCTGTCTCAGACTTGCTTTTCTGTTCTTATGCATTCTTGGAAGTTCTCATTAATTTGACTATTTATGGTATATTTTACTGTATTTGGTCTATTGTTTTAATGTAGAATCTAGTATAGTCCCATTTCCAGATACTTATGCCTGCCAAAAAAAATAAATAATTTCTTTCATTATCTTAAAATATTTAGTGTTGAATTAAAGTGCCATAGGAAAGATTTAAGATTTCAAAATAATTAAAATTCAGACTTTATGACACTATTATACATTATAATTACATAACTGTGCCTCGTAATTCCATAAATTCATGTAATTAATGCAACTACACATATTCACCTTATGTAGTTACAGATAATTACAGTAATTATATAAATACACAATAATCAGCTAAAAAACACAGGGGTTTAAAAGAAAGCTCTAAATTATTCATGTAACAACAAAAAATAGATTAAAAAGGGCACAGGTGCAGGAATGAGAGATAATAGCGTAATAGCAACTTGGTTTCTCAAGCCAGTTGCATTAGCATAGAGGGAGTATCACATATAGGGTGGATTGCTCTGGAATCCACACAGATGGGGTCTAAACCTACACATCCTGCTAGACCTGCTCAGGTTTTAAGCCTCTTCCTCTATCTCTGTGTGAATCTCCAATAAATTTCACTTGCAGAGAAGAAAATCCAAAAGCAGCATAACCATGTTTTTGCAGTCCCATGGGTAGGCTAATCAGCATAGGGCAGTGCTAATTGGTACTGTCATTTAGCAGTGCTAATTAACCTGTCCCAAACACTCCACTCACCCTGGTAAGCTGATTCCAGCAGCCAGGGTGTATGTACACAAGATATTTACTCTGCAGTAGACTACATAGGCACCCCTATTAGGTTGGAGTAACCTAGTTTACTCTGCAACAGGACAGAACTTATAATTACAGGTACTATACTCCTGTGGAGTTTTTTACTTTGCAGCAGCTCATGTTTAGATGCCAATGTGGCTGGCTGGGGCATGAGGGTGCTTTAGTGTGGGGGCCACCTGCTGGGTAGAGCCGCATTGAAGCCCTTTTGTGCCCTAGCCAGCCCCTCTGCAGCACGTTGAGCCAGGGGGGAGCAGCCCCAAACCAGCAGGCTGACCCTCAGGCCTACTCTCAGCTAGAGCTGCTCTGACCCATCTCAACGTGCTGCAGTCCTGGGCACACATGCAAACGATGCCCCCGGAGCAATAAGCTCCAGAGTTTGTTTTACATTAATATGCACGTGCAGATGCACCCCTTGTGTGGTAATATGGCCAGCATAAAACCATCATTGTCAAGTGTTCCTGGTTTATGTAACTCTTTAGCAAGGGGAACAGTGCTAATGGCTACCTAAGAATTGGTTACCCTTTCTGAGCCAGTCAGTCCAAGGCTCAATCTAAATCCATTACAGACTGAATAACAGGATACTTTTACTTTGAGATAGGCAAGATACTTGTCTCAGTTACCATCCACTTGATGTTCTGGTTGCTACAAAAAGCCTGGCAACATTTTTCTGATGATCTGTGAAACAGGGATTAAACTAAGAAAAAGAAAAACCTCTCCCTTTGTCCTGATCATCTCTTCTTAAAGAGTTCAGATTTTTAATTTAATAATTCATATGCTACTATATTTTGAATGTTAATTAAAAATGGAAAATATTTTTATGCTGAGATAATTTTCTTTCTTTTTTTCTACGTAGACTGCACCTGTGCAGATATGATTTTGTATTACCAGAGAACATTGAAGTCACCTTCAAACCGATTCCATGCCAAAAGAAGGGCGTAACAGCCTCAGAGAAAGAGCCTTTACTGACTTGATTTCCTGTATAGAAAATGGAACATTTAATTCTTTCTCTGGACAAGGAGTGCAGCAGGAAGGGAAAATGATATAAACCAGGCTCATTTTGAGAAGTTTGTCTTTCGTTACTTTGTTTGAGTGGCACTGAGTGAAGGCCAACAGGAAGTTTAGATATCCGTGTGTTAATAACATTTTGACAAAGAAATGTAAGACAACAAAGAACATGCAGTAATTTATGAATTATTACTTTTAGGCAGCAAGAATATTTCAGGGTACCACCCAATTAAATGTGACTTCCCCCCTCTGATCCTGGCAAATGAGTTATGTAATGCATATATTTAATTATTTATTCTTTAGAATAACTTTCTTGTCAAGGTATAATTATCTGACTATTGAACGAATTTATTATACGGTACATATGATATATAGAGTTACTATACAACAATTTTGGCATAACACATTACTTGAATAAATAAATTAATGCTATTTCATTATATGATGCTCCTGCTTGTGAGAACCATAAAAATAAGATTTGTGAATGCATTTGTCAACTTGTTGTTTGAAGCAATAATCTCCAGTGTCTGCTATAAAGGAATATTACTACAACCCACTCAGACTTTGTCTGTTAACAGGTCATGACAAGGGACTACCATATCAGGTATAAAGTCACTGGATAGTCTGTTCTGATAGGGTTTGCTTTTTTTGACATCTGTATAATTTGACAAGAGCACAGACCTTAATCTGCTCACACTGAAGTTGGTGAGAAGTAGGAATAAATCCTGCCTATGCAACCACAGCAATAGCTAAAGTATTCCCCACTTGCTGTATCTGTATTCCATTATAATAATGGGGTTTTATGATTTTTTCTGTATTTTCCCCCTTTTCTCACCCCACCTCCTTAGACATTTGTCTTATATTAGGTAAAGGTTCCTTCAGGTGCTCTTCCTTCATTCCATGGTGTTCCTTGTTCCTCCTCTGCATTCCTTTCCCTTTTAAGAGAGTCATTTTGGTTAAGTGTGGAGCTTTGTGGGTAGAGTTGGAAGGGACATCCTCTGTATTGTTTTCCCTTTAACAGTTTTATCTTTTTTTCTACTTGCTGCTTCTTGCTTGTTCTCATTTTGTGGATTTTTTTCTTGCATTGCTCCTATCCCCCTTCAATTCTCCTTTTACAGGTCTGATGTGCACTTGCCTACATTTTCTCATGCCCGCGAAGTATTTGTTACAATTGTTAGATTTCTTTCATATTTACATATGAAGCAATAAGTAAAGAAACCAGGATGATACAGTCAGTAAATTTCACTTGAATTACAATCCGTGGAATGTTTGAGTTTCTCATCTGGTGTTTTCCAGCTCTGAGTTGTAAAGAATAGCGAGTTAGCAGTATAGTGACCTGAATTTTTCTTTGACCTTATTCTCTTTCATTTCTGTGCCGACATTCAATTTCAAGTTACTGTCAAATGAAATGGGTGACAATGTATTAACTGTAAAGTGCCCAAGAACACAAAGGACACATGTATCACTTTTACTTCTTGGATATATGTTATTTTAGGAAAGCTCTAACATTCCTAGAGCACTGGGAAGTATGTCTTTAATGACCTGATTTCACTGATGTGAAATAGGTATAGAACACTAGATAAGCAAAGATTTCTGGGTACCAGTCTTTGCAAATAATGGTCACTGAAGGCCTGCATGTGGCTGCTATGATTAATATTATGAGTTAGTTAAATGGCCTCAGTTTTATTGGGTGCTTTGCAGAGGTCAGGCTAAATTCATCTATGGTCTTATTTTAGGTTGCACCACCCGAGTTGTAGCCATGAAAGGCACCTTGAATCTGAAACACAGTTTCTTCCCTGCTCCTCTTTACTGCAGTGGGTAGGCTAGGAGGCAGTTACAGTAGGCCATGAAAGGATGCAATTTATCTTGCTAGTACATGTTGTATATGAGGGAGAGATGACTGGAGACCATTATTTATGGTGAGGGGAAGTATCTCAGGACCATTGACTGTGCTGTGTACCAGACCTGGCCCTGACATCCTGGTAATCCAAGCAAGTGGATTTATTCACCTTTATTCACTTTTACCTCCTGGCTATTTAGGGAGAGAATTTATTTCTAATAGGAAATGCATCTTATAAACTTTATTTTAGGTATTTTTATTTCTTTGAAATGGTCGGGTACCAGGGCAGATGGAGACAGCATGGGAGTACTTCCACGTTGCAAGGTTAAATTTGAAGAAGAAGAACACCATGGTCTGGCTCACAGAAAGGAGGTGGCTGTTTTAGGTCTGCTGGGTGGTACCAAAAAAAGAAAACACATAGTGTTATGAGCTGGAGGATACCAATAATAGTAACTCAAGAATACCCACCTGGCAGTACAGCACCTTGTTGATTCTTAAGGTAGAGGATGAGGAATTTTAACTATGATAAGATATAAAAAGTATATTGAGTGATACAAGACGTAATGTGACACAGAAGCAGTGAAAAAGGGGAAGCAATTTTGTTGCAGTGTTTTGAGTAAATTCAAGGAGAAACAGTGAGGTAATTGAGGGATTCCAGTAGTTAATGTGAGAGAAATCTGAAACGGGTGGGGGTGCTTCTAATTTTCCACTTTAGTTTATAATTTCCATTTCATAAGAGACTGTTCCAGGCAGTACATTTCTAGTACATAATTGCACTTCTCAAGTGGCTAACCACTTGGACTCTAGCCTTCTGCCTTGTGGCATTAACCAAAATGAACTGTAATTGCTCAGAAATGCACCACTTGTTGTGGCCTGATGCCATATACCACTTTATGCTGATTCTGTCTGCTCTCATGAGCTAAGCAGATGATACTGCGGGCCAGTATGAAGACTGAAAAACCTCCAAGGAATTCCCCACTGAAAGAAATAACACTGATAGGACAGTGGAAAACACTTCACCTTCTATATCCGTACTGAAATAATGCTCAGTTCTTGGGGAGACTGTGCTCTTACAGGTGCTCTCTTTCAGGTAAAACAAAACCCCTGGCCTGTTGGCTTCTGATCATTAGCAAATCTATACTACTTCATGTTAAAAAATATTAATCATGATGATTTAGCTAGATGTTGAATTGGGTAATGTAATTTGTGTATGCCTTCATTTTTCCTGCAACTCAAGGAAGGTATGGAAGTCTTTACTCCCTGTCTGATGTGCTATGTAATGTTTTGTATGCTGTTAAACAGTTGCCTAGTTCCATCCCAAGTATGTCCTATATTCTAGAGGGGGATCCCTGAATAAGTTGCATATCAGTTTGTGAAGCACTTTCAAGTATGAAGCACAGACTCTATTAATATGTTTCATTATGTACCTGTATGCTTAATAACTCAATGGACTGATACAACAGCACGACAGCTAGAGCAAATAGCACATTTTTCTGTTGAAACCACTTATTTAACAGAAAATCCACTGTCTGCAAAATACAAATTTTCCAAAAAGAAAACTTCAGCGTTGCTGAAATGTTATGATTTTCCTTGGGAAATGAAAAAAAAAATCCTTTCATGTCCATTTGACCCAAACGTAACATTTCCATTTGTTGAATAACTGAAATGTTTCACTTCAAGGCAGTTCTATATGATACTGTATGCACTAGTCTGGTAGGTGACCAAGTGTGATCACAACATCTGAGTTTCTCCATTTGTAAAATGGGAATAATGATGCTAACCTCCTTTATAATGTACTTGTGCTCCGTGGATGACAGGTGCTGTGCAAGAACTAGCTAGTATTTGTCTCTGGTGCACATTGTCTCCCAGGAATTGTAGTTCAGATGTTTTAAGCCTCTCCAGTCTCACTTATGGGCTTGATTTATTTGCTGGACTATATCACCTGTGGTAAACTGTGATCTGAATTTTGACTGAGCTCAGCAGCATAGTGCATCATAGTCACCTGACTGAGGATGCATAATCTGAGATATTGTAATAAGGTCAGGTCAGAAATGGACCCAGCTGGTCCCAATCAAGACATTAGGGCAAGACATCCCTGAAACAAGCACTACCTGCAGCAAGACCAGAGCAGCACTGTAGTCCTAGCTAGGCTGAGCAAGGCAATCAGGGCAGCCAATCCTTTGAAGCCACAGGCAGCAGGCCCCACCCTCTCCAGACCTTAAAAGCCAGACCCAGCTCATAGTGTCCTTGTCTGGGCAAAGGTGAAAGGTATTGCTTCTGACCATTTGTGCTCTTTCTTGCAAGTTTTCTAGAGTTTGACTCCTGGTTCCAACTCTGGCTTCTGATTCTGGTAAGCCTTTCAGCATTCCCTAATTCCAGTTCTCATCTCTTGCATTTTTTTTTTTTGGCTTGACTTTCTAGCCTTTGCCTTTTGACCTTAGTTAACTCTTGGCTTACCCTGTCTCTGGTTTCAGTTTCTGACCCTGGCTGTTTCTAATTTTGGCCCTGGCTTCTAAGTCTACTCCTGACACCAGACTATTACAGCCCACCAGCTCCCTAGAAACTGCACCTGTGCTTCAAATCTTTATCCATGAGAGAAAATTGCCTATGCCCCAGTGCATAGCAGATATAGTCTAGTCAGGAGCCTATAGGTAAGAGGAGACACTCAAAAGAATTTCAGATCAAAACTCTCTGGGAAATCTTGCTCCAGAAAAATGTTGGTATTTCAACTTTCCTGTAGAAATATCAAAAAATGTTGTAGACAAACTTGAGTGTTTGTTCCACTAGTAGTGATGAGCCATGTACTTTTACAGATCCAGGTGGGGAGGGAATAGCAAACCTTTAATAGCTTGAGTGAACAAACCTTATGAAGAACATGATTCTATTCCAACCAAATTCAACAGGTCCCACTGATTTCAGGGCTTGTGCCTACACATGCACTTCTTCTTCTGGGAGAAGTTTACTTGCCAGTAAACTACTTGTGAGTAAATGCTCCTGTGCAGGTGATCGGGGAGCTAGGGCTGGGAACTTTCTGTTGCCAGGGAAGGGGAACATTGTCCTTGTGCCCTGGCAGCAGGCAGCTTCCAGGGCCAGGGAGTAATCTCCTGCCCCCAGCTGACCAGGAGCACACTTGCCCCTGGTCAGAGATCTATACGTGCACTACTGCACAGTTACTAATCTCGAGTAAGTTTGTTGCTTGCATTTGCAGGTAGCAAATTTACTTATGATTGGAGCCAATTATTGAGCAGTAATTGGCTCTACTTCTCTGTAAAGTCTCATACAGATGTACCCAGGGATAGCTAATTTGGGTACTGAGATGAAGCAAAAAGGGAGTAAGTATACAGCTGGCAAACCAGCATTGAGCCTACAGGCTAGAGACAGACATTACACACAAACCAGTTTAAGTGATCAGAAACTGGCTTAAGCCTGTAATGGAACAGACATTCGGTGCACATAAACCAGTTTGACAATAGCTGAAACCAGTTTGAGATGAAACCCGGATGAATGTAGCATCAGATTTAACTGATTTGGCTCAAACTGGTTTATGCAATGTCTGCCCCAGATGCCTTCCTGGTTTAAGATTAAACCAGACACCCCCAGCATCCCAGCATGCTCTCTGGACTGGGTGG